GAGACTGTAGAAGAAAATGTGAATTTGCATGCGTTGTGCTGTCCTCTATCCTGTATAGAATTAAGTTTTTAACATAAAGAATGGGGAATTCTAGTTTTGCGTTTGGTATGCTATGCTATTTGATTTTCTTTGGGGGGTTTTTTGCGAGGGACTTGAGGAGGTAAGCACGCGGAACGTCAGCCAGACGATAGCAGACGTCGGAGGTGGGTGGTTGGCTGGTGCTCTGGTGTGGTTTGCTCCTTCTTTCCTCTCAAACATCCATCATCCTTTTCTCTCCTCCTTTTTTGTGTTTGTTACTCTCTTGTAACACCTGTAATCTTCAGCACTTATATAACCTTATTGTGTTGCAAGTGCCATACAACTCTTACTAAAACTAAAACTAAGACGTCGGAGACACGAGTCGATAAGGAAGAAGGAATAATTATGTGGCTGTGCGAGGGACACACGGTGTCTCCTTGCCTTGGCGTTCCGTCTCTTTTCTTCCTCGCTTCCTTTTGGTCTTCTCCTAATTCTTATTTCTTCTGCGCCTCCTTTCTTCACCCCCCCCTCCCTTTTTTCATCCCCTAGCTGTGGCAAGCAATGTCTCCTTGCTTTCTGCCTCCTTTCTTCGTTCTCTCCATACTTCTTCCTTTCTTCTTCTTCTCCCTCCTTGCCTCCTTTCTTAATACCCCCTCCCCTCCCCCTTTTTTTCTACGTCCCCTACTTTTTTCCTCTTTCGCCCAGTCGGAGACGGACGTTAAGTTTAAAGATCCCTCCTCTTAGATAACCTAATAGTGTTTAGGGGAGCGTTACACCTATACAATGAATATATTTTAGTGCTTCCCTTAATTCTTCATTCCATCCTTTCTTCCTCCATTTCTTCATTCCTTCCTCTCTTCCTCTCCGTCTTTCTTTCTTCCCTTCTTTTATCTCTGTTCTTCTCCCTTTTCTCTTTTGTATCTTTCTTGCCTCTCCCTTTTTATCCTTCATCCTGAGAGTGGATGTATGTTTCTATTGGCCCCCCTTTCTCGCTTGTCTTGTGTTTAATGGCTGGATCATTCTACGTGTTTCTCTTTTCTCCAACAAAGCTTCCATTTTTTCCCCGTTCCTTTGTTCTTTCTGTCCTTCCCACCTTCCTCTTTTTCCTTCTATCTTGTCTTTATCTCCGCGCCATTCCTTTGCCTTTTTCTTCTCTCACCTGTTTTATAGCTGCCTCCGCTTCTTTCGCTTTATTTAAAATACTTAGTTCGGTTTTTTACTTTCTACTTTAACTACCCTCTTATTCCGCAAGGTGTCGAGGACATATTGATGCAATTATTGTCGAGCATGGGGCAATGCATTTTTTTAAAATCGTAATGTTGTTTCGTTAGAGGGTCTCCTTGACTCTGTCGATCCATCTTTTTCTTGGTCTTATTGTCTGGACTTTGAAATGTGACTGTCTTTGTTCTTTTCTCCTTTACTTTTAGTTGGATGGTTGGAGGGCACCACCTGTAGATCCTACTTCTTAACTTTCCCCTCTGTTTCTGTCTGTCTGTCTTACTTTTTCCCAGCACTAAATGACTATTATTCTGTCGATGTGCTTCTTTCTACTTAAACAAAACGGACAAACCTTTATTTTTATGAATGTTAGTTTTGCAATTCCCCCTTCTGCCCAACTAGTTATCATCTCATCAATAATGCCGCTGATGCATATCGACCTTCCCGCGGGGCTGTATAATAATTCATTTATTCCTTCCGATATATGATTATGCATGAAGATTATGGGTATGAGTTCATGCAGTAATCTTATATATCGTGCCCTCTACTCTGTGACTCCTAACGTGCTTGTAATGTATGCGTGCGCTACGAGGTCATTACTCCTAATGAACGACCCAGGAATACCGAGATTGGACATTAGAATTTCCAAACGGCTTTAATGTGCCTCTAACGCTTCCTTCATGTAGAAGGTCGTCGATCTCACCGCATTTTTATTTTGCGCTTATTTCTGTACTGGAAACTGGGGGACCCAATAGAAGTACAGTACGTTTGTGGGTGATTGGAGGGTGCTCTGGTGTGGTTGGCCTCTTCTTTCCTATCAAACATCTATCGTGCGTATCTTTCCTCCTTCTTTTTTTGTGTTTGTTATTCTCGTGTAACACCTCTAACTAATCTTCGGCACTTATATATGACCTTATTGTGTTGCAAACTTCAGGCCGAAGGGTTAGAACTCAAATGGCCGTTGGATCGGAAAAGTAAAGTGTTGCAAGTGCCGTAAAATGCTTACTAAAACTAAAACGCAAGTACATTTTCGGGTTTTTCTAGGCGCCACTAGTAGGTCATGCTTGCTTTCTTCCCTGCCTTCTGTTGTTTCTGTTTCTCCACCTTACTTTTACCCCGCATAATTACTGTTAACGCGTAGGTGTTTCCCCTTTTCTTCAGAGAAAAGGGGACTTTTCTCCTCATTTTGCTCTCTATAGATCCCGAAAAAAACACAAGCGCTTTGCATACAGTATAGCAAACGGTGGCGCTTGCTTTGCAAAAGGGACCAAAGCTGGTTTCCCCATCATGACAGTCAGTGTTCTTGGTCCCGTCGTGGAACTAGTTTGATTGATCGAAGATCTGTAAGGAAAGGACGTGCCGTGAGAACGCTATGACAGCACGCCGCTTTCACAGTGTAGCTAAGGAGGCCAAGGTTGTACTACTCATAAATGGAATTGTCGTTCTATTTTCACGACGCTTTCTGTGAACGTATCAAGGCTATATGCATAATAGAATTGTCCCTCTATTTTCACGACTGTTTCTACGAAAGTTTCTAGGCTTGAACCCATAATGGAATTGCTCTTCTATTTTCACTACTCTTTCTGTGAAAGAATCACAAGGCTTTTTGCACATAATAACATAATAGAATTACACTTCTATTTTCGTTGCGGGTGCTCTGGTGTGGTTTGCTTTTTCTTTCCTATCAAACATCTATTGTCCTTATCTCCCCTTCTTTTTTTATATGTTACTCTCTTGTAACACCTCTAATCTTCGAACGCTCATTTGACGTCATGCAGTTGCGAGCGCCGTAAAACCTCTACTAAAACTAAAACTTCTACTTTCACGACTTTTACGACTTTTTCTGTAAAAGAATCAAGGCTTTTCGCATTATGGAATTGACCTTCTATTTCCAGGACTTTTCGGTAATAGGATCTGGTTGCCGTACGGACCCTGTGTTTTGAGTATTGTTTGTGTAGAGAAGGTCAGTGCATTCAGCCAGTGGCTCTCAGATTTGTCTGTGACCTGCGAGGATTTCTATGTTGGAGCCGTTTTTTTGTTTTGAGATGACCGCTGCCAGAGTTGTGTGTGTGTGAGCGTATGTGTTTGTATGTTTCTGTGTGTGTGTGTGTGTGTGTGTGTGTGTGTGTGTGTGTGTGTGTGTGTGTGTGTTTGTGTGTGTGTGTGCGTGAAAGAGAGAGAGAGAGAGAGAGAGAGAGAGAGAGAGAGAGAGAGAGAGAGAGAGAGAGAGAGAGAGAGAGAGAGAAAGAGACAGAGACTGAGAGAGAAGCGGAGAGTGAAAGGACTTTCGGTACTCTGCGTGAGTAAAAGAACAAAAGCGAGGAAGAAAAAAAATAAGACTACGAAGTGTGGGAACAGAAAAGTGGATAACGGACATAACATGCTCCAGGCCTTGCGAAATGGAAAAACCGTCCTGTAAAGGCGCCCGTCTCCAAAAGTTGATTGGGGCCATAAAATGGCATTGTGTGTCTTATCTTGCTCCCACGCTAAGCCAGCAGGTCGCTGTGCTGGTATGGCATTTCCATTTTCTGTTTGCAGACAGATTTTTCTCCAGTTTCCAGTCTGACTGATCTGTCCGGATATGTCCGCCCCTTGTGCCATGTGTTCCTTACTCGTGGTTTTTTCTGTCTTTCGTTGTGCCCTCTGGTGGCGATTACAGAATTAAGGTGGTCTTGTTTTGATGTGGAAGTACTGTGTTGTATTCTCCTGTTGACGTTATTTCAGAAATTATGTGAGGGAGAGAGGACGCGAAAGTAGAAGTCAGGAGAGGAAGATGGGGTGGGTGCTAGCAGGAGAGAGAAAAGGAGACCGAAAGAGAGAGACATTGAGAGAGAGAGAAAGAGGGATTGAGAAAGAAAGTGAGATTGAGAAAGAGAGAGAGAGAGATTGAGAGAGAGGGTAGGATGGACTGGAAGGAAGGAGAGTGTACAAGCTGACTCCATAATCCCGAGAGAGAGAGAGAGAGACAGACAGAGAGAGAGAGAGAGAGAGAGGGGGGGGGGAGGTGGAGGGAGGGAGGGTGTATGCTAACGTACTCCATAATCACGAACTTTCAGAAACCCCCATACACTCCTCCATGCGCAAGGACAGCCGTTCCTAGCGCAGATGTGCAGACTGCGCGCGTGCGTGCGTGAGCGTGAGTACACTTTGAGAGCGCGCGTGACAACTCTTCGATCTCACTCACGTCAATTTATGCTGCTCTTACAGGGTGCACGCGCCCTGGGTGCAGCGTTATCGAAGACGACTTGCTTCGATTTTTTTCATGTAGTGTCTTTCGTAATGAAACTGAACCTGAACTACTTTGGGCATATCAGACGCCATGACTCACTCGAGAAACGTATTCTGGAAGCAAAAGTGGAAGAAAAGAGGGGAAGTGGAAGAAAAGAGGGGAAGTGGAAGAAAAGAGGGGAAGTGGAAGACCTAACAAGAGGTGGGAACAGGATTTCTGTCTTGGAGGAATCAAAACAACTCGGGCAGGCAGAATGGCAAGAGACAAGAGTACTTTATTACAGAAAGGTGTGCGAAGTAAAGTCCAACTTCTGGAAGAGTACGAAGAAGAAGATGCCATTCGACGATATAATCCGTACATCGTGTTTTACTGTCGTATCCATAAGACGTGGGGAACTCTGTGCCACCACTTTTCAAAGAGGAAATTTACTCGTTTATCCGATCTATACGGTTTGCATAGAAGTCTGTCAAAATAATTTTTTGAGAAATACTGAAAGCTTCAAAGAGATTTTCGTACTAGAAGTGTTCTAAAATGTGAAGAATACAACCCGGGGGTACAAAATGACCCCAGGGCGTACGGATAGAGTTGAATAGCTCAGCCGTCAATGAGATTTCGACATCGAATTGCTTCGTTGTAGTTGTAGTACAGGTGCCCCTTTCGACAAATCAGGTTGTGTGTACAGCCTTTTTCTACGCTGAGCGCGCGCTGGTGTCATTCTGTCTTGTGGCTCGCGGCCGCGGCGCGAGGTGTAAAACGACAAACAGTGGTTTCAGTTGGTTCATGACTGCTGGTACGCACACACACACCTCTCTTGTTCAGTAAGTTTGGGTTTCCTTTTTTTTTCCCCCATCACTTTCACTGTTGTTGAGTGTTTCGACCTTTGTGTAAAAAGGATTGTGATTTTTTTATCGTAATAATTGTGCAGAAAGCGGATGTTCTTTGTAGTGTTCAGACGTGAGAGCGGATGTAGTTTCGTCGAGATTATTTTTCTGCCAAAAAGACTGGATATAGGTTTGTGGTCACGGTAGTGTGTGGGCCAATGGAAGCGCAATGAATGCTACGTATTTGGCGACGACGTGATTTTTTTGTGGTCTATGGATGCAATTACCGTTGATTTCAGGCTTCAAAGCTTGCAGTGAAATGGAAGTTTGCGTTTTCCTTGCTTGTCCTCACGTGCATAAGCGCTTATGCTCGTTTAGATAACTTTGTTCGAACTGGTGGTTTTGCCTGTCCTTTAAAGTGTCACCACCTTCGTTCTTATTTTATCATCCCTGGGTTTTTTTGTCATCACCTCCTCCCTCTCCCTCTCCCTCTCCCTTTCTCTCTCTCTCTCTCTCTCTCTCTCTCTCCCTTCTCTCTCTCTCTCTCTCTACCTTCTCTCTCTCTCTTTCTTTCTTTCTCTCTCTCTCTCTTACCCCCCTCCCTTTCACTCTCTTTCTCTCTCCCTGTCTATCCTTATGGTAATAAATTAACCTGCGTGGTAAAAGCTCGCTTTACTCCTGTAGTATGCCGGACCAGAATATGGGCAGCCATTTTTCATGGGTGACGTGCGACAAGAACCAGCATGTAAA